GCACTGCTAATAGTGTTTTAAGTGAACTAGTTGATTCTCCAATGATTAGTCAGCCTGGTTCATGTCTAGAAAGTTGTCAAAATGAAGACATAGTAAACAACCTGATGCAGAATAAAAGTGTGCAAATTAGGAAAAGTGATATATCTGACAAAGTTTGCAATATTGTTGACAAAGATGAAGTAAAATCCATCGTATCTCCAAGCAGTACGTACTCATCCAAGGTCGCATCAGCACTGAACAGAAATCAATCAAGTACTTGGAGAACCTTGAGTGAAAATAAAGAGTTTTCACAGAACATGGTTGTGCCTAGTAAATCTAATACAGAAAATCTAGTCAAATCTCTGATGAATATCGAACAAAAAACATCAATATCTGGACTTAATACAGTGCTACAGCGAACACATTCTAGGGATGAAGAAGAGAGTGTTAAGTCTCTCTCGGCAGTATCATCGCGCACTGACTCACAGTGTACACCATCAGGTGAACATGAGAGTAAAAAAATGAAGGGAATCTCTAAGGACATTGATAAGATTACAGAAGAACTAATACAAGAGACTCAAGCATTGATATCAAAGACTACCCCACCGACTCAAGACCTTTTGGGTGTTACTGCTAATCAAATGCAAATAAAATGTGAACCTAAACCTAGTCCGGTAGAAGTGACTAAACAGAAAAGGACAACTTTTGAACAAGAGCAGTTTATGTTTGAAATGGCAAGAGCCTATGATAGAGTAACACTGGTCTTCTCAACGTATGCTAATTCGCCCACATTTTGCAAAGCAGCCCAAAAGGTGAACACATCACTGAAAACATTATAGTAACTATGTTTGAATTTTTGATAAAGTAATCATACTTGTTATATTGTTAAATATTCTCTTTAAAAGCAGGCACAAACAAGATTTGTACGAGGAGTTAGCAAACTCCCTATGAACATTGCAATATAGCAGGGGACTTTCTTATTGGTGCCATCAAATAATCTAATATTATGAAAACGATCTCACTTCCTCTGCTGTCACTTGATTTTGGATTAATAAATTTCTGTCTAGGTTTGTACTATGGCGAAGTTGTTTGTTTTCATATTACAATATTGTTTTGACTATACAAAGGAAGTTGTAAATTATCCATTCAAATCTTATTTGCGGTCGCTTCAACTGAAGGAAGTTGATGGGGTTATTGATAAGTTGCTTGTACGAATCTTGTTTACGGCCAATGTAAGTACAGTTACTTTCACATAATTGTGTCCCATATTATAATGTTGCTCCAACTCACTCAACATAAAATTATGATGTTTGAAATTTTTACTTTCAGCTTAAATCAAATCCAGATATATTCTTTGAAGCTGAGTGGCTGCTAATGAAAGAACAAATTGTGGGGCACATAACTGCTATTATTAACTTTGCCAAGAGAATTCCAGGTATGATTCAGTACATTGCCAACCATGTTATTTGTAGTTGTAAAGTGTATAATGGCTGCCCTTAGATGTATCTCAGACTAGTAATACAACAGACTTGCAAGGCGGCGTTTTCTTTTGAAGTAATGCTACATTTGTTTAGATTAACAGTTCTTATCATACCGAGTAAACGTTGCGAATCAACAAGATTATCACAAAATAACGCGAGATCTATTCATATTCGATTAACTATCGCGAGACATACCGGGTAGGTAATTCTTATTACCTCCATGACCACACTGAAATTCGAAAATAACATTTACGTAAGAATTTAATCTGGGGAAGATAGTTACAGTACTATGAAATAGAACTCGACAAAAATAACACACCTCCAGTTTTTAACAATACTGATAAGCTGAGAGATATCATGTATATGACACCAGCTATCCCATGTTTTGGTACCCCTGAAAAGAAAACAAAAGTGTTAACACACAAAGTGGTATGATCACTTGAAACGTAGCGATATGCCCTTCCCGAAAAAAAATGAGAAACCTTCCGCAAAATCTGCATCATTTCAGAGAAATTCATTATATATTCAAAAACTATTTGAGGTATATACTAAGACATTCAGTTACTTGTAACTCGCCTAAATGTTGGTCAATTCTTAAAAAGGTAAAATGTCCAGAACGTTGTTTTAAAAATGTCTGGATTTGTTTTACAAAGAAATACACAATTTCCAAAGAAGCGCGAAGTGTGCAGAATATCCGGTGTTCGGTAAACTTTGACACACATAGCATGTACAATTAAGCTGATTAACACCTTAAACAATAGGCGTTGCAACTCTGTTGTATAACTAGTCTGATGATGTATGTTAATTGCCAACCGCTAAACTGTGAATCTCTCAAATTTTGCATAGCTTAGGGTTATGTAAATAAAACTTGGGTATTTCTCGCACCACGACCACCAGTTGACACTGCTACGCAATGTGGGAAGGAACCATCAAAAGGTAATACAGTCCTACAACCACTCCAGTTCAAGATCTGTATACGATGGTTGTAGGACTGTAAGTCCACTGCGAGATAATTTGTTTTACACACAATAGAGGACATGGAAAACCCAGATTTGGTCTCCGGTGCGAATCTCCCATTTTCATAAAGAAATCGTATTCAAATCTTGGGCTAGCCAATTTGGTGTGGTGAGGAGCATACAGGCATTTATACCGCCTGGGGAGACGGCTAACTTGTCAAACAGAGACAAAACAATCGGCAATTATAATACACTAAAATATATATTTGAAAACAACAGCAACGGTGATGTTCGTTTACAGCAACAGAATTCAAAATACAATGTCTTGTTGGCTGCTAAATAACTGACCAGTTCATAACCAGAAGAAGTTCCAACAGGCTGGATATTACAAGAGGCGACGTCCCTTCGGTAGCAGTACAAAATGATTGTTTAGTCTGACCTGGCAGGTTTTTGGCAAAGCAATTCTCGCAGTTTAAACTTGGTGCTCTTCGGTCAAAATTCCACAGAGAAAGTCCTTGCAGTGTCCTTTCCTGGAATCAAGGTCGTTTTTTGGTGTTCGCAGTCACCATCGCTGGAATTTAGAACCTTTTTTGTGAGCTTCCTAAACGCATGTACTTAGCCGTTCAGTCCATTTTTCAAGAGCCTTCGTTTTGTGAGTGGAGAGGCAGGACAAACCAATCACTGCAGCATGTCTCAACGAGTGTCAACAAAAACCATAGCTATGAGGCAAAACTTTTCCATTACGTCACGAGTACATGACCATAATAAAAACGCACGGGCCCGTAATATCAAGTAATAACAAGGTATATAAGGAAAACTACATAGATTTAAAGAAACAGTAAAATTACCCTGGTTTCATGAATGATATGATGTTTTATCCCTTTTTACCTTGCCCATACCATCAAAGATGGAAGGGAAAGGTATATTAAGGGAAAAATTTTGTCCGGCGTTGTCGTCGTCGTTGTTGTTGTTGTTGTCATTAATAATTGTTATTGTGTGCATAATAACTTTACTAATTCTATTCCAAACTTTATCAAACTTGGTCACCTTATTCATCAGTATAAATTCTTCCCTGAGTTTGAACAACAGATGTTCTGTATGAAAATATCATGCAAAAATTGAGAAAATCTGATAAAATATTTTGACTGTTTCTACTTGACTGATCACTGGTGATACACATCAA